GTCTCCACCTCCACAAGGGGGATTTATCACCCTTGGAGTAAAGGCCATCTCAGGGACTAAAGCCTAACTTTGAAAGATCTCAATCTGTGAAAATGGATTAGTAATAACCAGCAACTGCAAACTCTCAGCAAACTGCCAGAAGGTTATTTTATCAGTTAGGGGCTAGCCAAGAGATAGAAACCACACCAGTAATTTGAACAGGGAAAATTGTAAAAAGTGTTAAACAGTAAAAAAGGCTGTTAAGTACTAAAAGGGGTATAGAAGTAACAGCAGTAAAAAGCAGCTATTCCCACTAGAATTTAAGGAGTGTGAAAAGGAAGTTACTCAGAAACTTGGAAACTTTTGGGAGCTCGTGTAGGTCCTTAAGTTTTAGGACCAAGAAGTATGTTAGAGAAGGCATTATAAATATTTGTGTGTGGTTATCCAACAGGATGGCCACATTTAAGGAAACATTTAGGAAAATAATGGTCATCTGTCAAATGAATTTTTCTCTTTTTTGTGTCAACTTGGCAAGACCACAGTGTCCAGATATTTGGTCAAACACCAGTCTAGATGACAATGTGAAGGCATTCTTTTTTTGGATAAGATTAACATTTAAGTCGGTAAACTTTGAGTGAAGCAGATTGCCCTCCATAATGTGAGTGGGCTTCATCCAATCAGTTGAAGACTTTAAGAGCTATGACTATGGTTCTATAAGGAAAAGAAAATTCCAGCTCTAGACTGCCTTTGGACTTAAGCTGAACATCAAGTCTTCTCTGGTTCTCTAACTTGCAGACCTGCCCTGCAGATTTGGGACTTACCAATCCCCACAATCATGTGAGCTGAACCCTGACTAATGTACATGGTGAAATAATATTACCCATTTCCAAACTTTATAAGCACACTGTAGTATCAGAACTCTGGGCAAAAACACAAAACAATGAAAATGCAGCATGAAAAGAAAGTCATTTGTGAGTATTTACTTTACATTGTTATTGCCTTAAAAGCTGCTGCTTCTTAACCCAATTATGGATGAAAGCTACATGAACATTGCCCAATCATTTAACAGGATAGATAACAAAAGCTTAGCAAATAAAAATCTAATTTTTTTCTAATGCTTTCCTCATCTCCAATAATTAAAAAAAGTAGATTTCTGATTAAACAACTGAAAAGGTTCTCACATTAAAAAATGAAAAAATAAGTGGATCCTTATGTTATATAAAGTCTAATTTCCCTTTAACAATTTTTTTTAACAGAGGTTTCTATTTTTCACTACTGGATGTAAGAATCTCATTAAATTGATTTTAAGCTACATTTATTAAATGACTTCTGTATTTTATGACACTGGGAAAGGAGTTGCAGCTATGTAGAAAGCAGGAGGCAAAGGAAGAATTCATACAAGTTAAGAACATTTCAGCTATTCCATGGCCAACCACTGTGAGCTGAATCAGAAACTAAATATCAAAGATCTAGTTGAAAAGCTCAAACGTACATTTAGTCATGATCCTAGACAAAGAAGAGGGAGGCCGAGGACAACACACAGAGGTTTTAAGTATAGACAATGAAGCGGACAATAACTCTGCCGCCACCTTGCTTTATGACCTCAATTTACTTAATATCTCTGAACTTCCGTTTCTTCATTTCTAAAATGAGAATACTAATACAAAGGTTGCTGGGAGAATTTTGCACAATAATGCAGATAAATCAATAAGCATACTGCCTTGTACACAGCAAACGTTAAGCAATGTTTACAGCTATGCTTTTTTTATTATTATCAATTGTTACAAACGCAGACTAGGGTAATGATATTCCAGGGAAAGGGAATAACATGAACAGAGATTCAGCTCTGTGACTGCACAGGGTGCATGGTTAATCCAATAGTTCCCATTGGTTAGAGTGTTGGGTACTTGGAAGAGAACGGGAAGTGGGAGAGAAGGCTGGAAAGGTATCTGCCTTGAAAGGCAAGTGTCACTCATTTGCAAAAGAGTAATAATGAAGTGAACTATTAGTAAGGAGGGATGGAAGGTCCAAGATATGCTTCAGTTCACAATGAAGTGAAATAATTCTCAGCTGGCAATTACTGAGCTGCCATTCAACATTTAACCCCAAAGAAGCTACACGAATAGTGACATCATCTGGCCACTGAGATATGTGCCATATACATGTTCCAAACATGTCTATAATTTAGTAAGGTAATTAATAGTATTTCTCACTTATTATTTCACCTAAAATGTGTTAAAAGTAAAGACTTGATTTAAATTCCCCTACCAAAGCACCCAAATAACTACCTTTTATCCACCAGAAAGTATATTATGCCATCTACATGCCCACTATAGATGTACCTTACTCTTAAGCAAAAAAGTTTTTTTCAGGTTAAAGTAAGAAGAAAAGGAAAGGGGAGAAGTGGATATGGAGATGGAGTGAAATGATGCCATCTAGAGTGAATAAACTTGGCCTTTTGGATCATGGTCCATCTGTAAGCAGAACTGCTTAGACCCCCCCCAATACTACTAATTTAGAAAACTGGCTGTTTGATAGTATCCTATTGATAACAATTTTATTTATTTCTTTATTACTACTAACAAAAGAAGACCTTAATAGTAATAAAAATGTAGAGATTCAGCTAATAATTTATATATCTTTCCCTACTATTTTTTTCAAAGATTTGGAGTTCTCATAAATTTCCTTACCACTGCTACCAGATACCAAGTTAAAGATTAAAAAACACCTTTCTACACAGCACATGCAGAACTTTCTGGCAGTCAATATCATCTATCTAAACATCAAAGTAGAAGGCTCTATCTTAAAGAAAAGTTATATCTTAACTGTGGTAGACTAAGGTCACATTTCAGTGAGTCTCTGAAGGTTTTGGTGTGGGAAAGGGTGCCTTCAAATTCTGACTGGGGACAGTTTACTCACCATTGGAAGAATGAGGCTATATTAGAGATTCTTTAAGAACTCATTAGAATTAATGACTACGTAGCATCACAGCTATGACAATCAGCAGTAGAAAAATCACTAGTAATAATTTACAGTGATTTTAGCAGTAGTAAAAACACCTATTCTTTCTGCTTCACAGAAGTTTATGGAATACAGAATACATCTCTCAGCTTGGATTTCATCATCCTATATAGGCACAGAACTCATCTAGGGCTGCTCCAAGGAAACACTTGTATACTTTTTCCTAAGGGAAGGACATTACACCTAGGATTGCCCTCTCTGGAGCAATCACAGCTCACTGCCCATCCTCTGGAGCCATGATGTGATAACAGGGAATGGCTGTCCTCTATGTATAAGCTCATTGTCATGCCCTCTTCTTATAGTATGGGCCAGGTTATGCAGGATGTTGCAGATAGAGGGAGAGAATCAAACACGCTGGTTAGGTAGACTCAAAGGTATTTGGCTGTTGTAGTGGGGAAAGTAAGGCCAGTTAAAAGCAGGTCCTGGTAGTCAAGTGCTTTTGTCTTAATCCCAGACCACTCTGGGAAATACTGGTTCTGTGCCAGCACTGCAGGAGAAGATGAAGCTATCTTTCTAAAAGCCTGACTGAGAAGAAAGATAGCTGCTCTGAAAATAAAAGCCCATTAACAGAAATATCTGTTTTCATGATTTATTTTGAGGGACCAAAATGTCAAGTTCTAAATATTTCCAGCTGGTAGAACCCTAGATACTACGGCTGTTACTGTAGTAAAATTGTCACTGCAATGGAGTTCAGAGAAAGCAAACCTTTTAAATCAATGCTGATTCCTCCACTTTGTATGACTGATATAGCTGTGCTTATGCTATGTATGGCAATGTATATGTATATCAAATCACCACATGTACACTTTATTTATTTTTATATTTTGAGTCAGGATCTCACTCTGTCACCTAGGCTGAAGTGCAGTGGCACAATTATGGCTCACCACAGCCTCAAACTCCTGGGCTCAGGTTATCCTTCTGCGTCAGCCTCCTGAGTAGCTGGGACTATAGGTGCATGCCACCATGCCTGGCTAATTTTTTGTGGAAACAAGGTCTTGTTATATTGCCCAGGCTGGTCTCTAACTCCTAAACTCAAGCAATCCTCCTGCCTCGGCCTCCCAAAGTACTGAAATTACAGGCATGAACCACTGTGCCCAGCAGCTTTATTTTTTTTATTTTTTGAGTTGGAGTCTCACTCTGTCACCCAGACTGGAGTGTAGTGGCCGGTCTCGGCCACTGCAGCCTCGACCTGCTGGGTTCTGGCGATCCTTCCGCCTCAGTCTTCCAAGTAGCTGGAATTACAGGCGCACGCTACCACGCCTGGCTAATTTTTTGATTTATTGTAGAGATGAGGTCTCGCCAAGTTGCCCAGGTGGGTCTCGAACCCACCTGGGCAATCTACTCACCTCAGCCTCCCGAAGTGCGGGATTACAGGTTGAGCCACGGAGCCCGGCTTAACATGTACACTTTAAATCTATACAATTTCACATGTCAATTAAACCTCAATAATACTGGGGGGACAAACAAAGCTGTTTATTTCCATAGCAAAAAAAAAAAAAAGGTACATATGGATTCATTTTTCTTTAGATCAAAAAATAATAAACAATTTATGAACTAAATCCAATGTACACTATTCTAAATTGCTTGCCCAATGTTTTCTTTCTTTCTTTTTTTTTTTTTTTTTTTTTGAGTTGGAGTCTCACTCTGTCGCCCAGGCTGGAGTACAGTGGCACGCTCCCGGCCACTGCAGACTTGCCCTGCTGGGCTCCGGTGATCTCTCTGCTTGCTACCACACCCAGCTAATTTTTTTTTAATTTATTGTAGAGCCGAGGTCTCGCCAAGTTGCCTGGGTGGGTCTCGAACCCGTGGGCTCAGGCAACCCACTGACCTCGGCCTCCCAAAGTGTTGGGATTACAGGCTGAGCCGCCAAGCCCGACCATCCAATGTTCTTAATTCCTAAGGATACTTGATTTAGCAAATTAAGGCTAAAGGCAAAACTGAACAGAATTATCAAAAGTAGTACATCTATCTTTGAGTTCAAAATGGGAAATCAGCCTTACCCACTGCATCCAATGACTTTATTGTACAGATAAGATGGCAATCCTTTCAGGTGAATGTTGTTATCCACATAGACATACTGTAGTTCTCGAGATCTACCTAAATCTGGAATAGAAAGAAAAGTGCTGTAATTCCTGTAAGGTGGCACCATTACAATGTGAAATATAAAATTCAATACATAATATTAGAAATACTCAAAAATTCATATTCTGTTGGTTTAATTCTGAGTGTGAAATAATGTCAGCTACAATATTAGATTCCGCATTAGAAAACATAACTGCAGAAAAATTACTTAACCTAAATCTTGATTTCTTAAATTGTAAAATGAGATTAACTTAGATTAAAATATTATTAAATTTCCTTCCCGCATAAAAATTCTGTGAAAGTTTGCCATGGGTCATTTAATTTCACTTTTCTCCATAAAAAATGTTATACAAGGTAAGTGAATGGTTCAAGCTTAGTTCTTCTGCCTTTTGACAGTTTCTTTGCTTGCAAACTTTTATCAGGTTGCTAAACCTTCTCCTAGGTCCAGCTATGGTCTTTCTTCAAAATCCAGTTTTAGTTAAAAAAAACCCGGCTAAGTCAGTTTAGCAAGAATCCCACACTCAGGACATCTGATTGGATTTCTCCTCCTCCACCATACCCCAGGTGATATCTGGTCACCCTGGCCTATCTTCAGCAAGAATTCTGTTAGCTTAGGCAGAATCCCCTCTTACTCCTGATATTCCCTTAGTAACTTTCCATCTACCATCCCTCATCCTACACCTTGACTATAAATTCCCACTTGCTCACACTGTATTTGGCACAATCTTCTCTTCCCCACTGCAAGACCCTGGGCATGCACGGTAATGGTCTCAGATAGTCTTCCTTACCATGCTTTAACAAGTGTCACTGAATAGTCTTTTCTTTAATACCCTATACTGAGATTTCCTTTGTCTCACTTCCCTTGGGCAGAAAGATAGGAGGTGAGTGAGAGAGTCCTAGGGATCAGGCCCTTGCTGGGCTAGAAGCCAGACAGACTTGGGAATAATCAGAACTGCCCTGTGGCTGCAGGATGCGGGAGACTTGAAACAGAACCCAAATCCTATCCCCTGGTGAGTTGTGAAGGTGGGGTGGACACAACCTGTGGGCCAGTGAGCAGGGGCTAGAATGGGTATGTATTTGGAATGAAAAGAGGCAAGAAAGGGGCCCCAAAAGAAGGGTGTACAACAGGAACAAGAATGCCAGAAAGGCAGAACTCAGAAATTTCCCACAGGTGGCAGGGCAATGGGGGGAGCAGACTGCAGGAGGATTCAGTGAGAAATAGGCTCAAAGTCCAGAGGGAGACTTCCAGCCAGTACAGGCAGCAGAGACACTTTCAAATGTCCAGGCCATTCCTTTCCATGTACCCAGGAATGTTCCACCAGCTCTCCTTTTTACTCCTAGCAATCACTGAGTAGGGCTACTTTATTGTCACAGAAGACAACAATAGAGTCCTCAGCAGCCTTGCTAACCCTCTGCTCTTAAGCAAGAACACAATTTCCAAAAGGTTTCCTACCGTTCTGCTTGTGAAAACAGGAAATAGGCAGAAGATCTTTTCTTCCTTGTCTTTCTTCAACTTAGGAAAGACAGGCCCAGATAGCTAAATTAGGAGGTTTGCAGATTCATTTACAGTTCAAAAGAAAATCCATTTACCCATTAAGGACCTTTTAGACACTATGCTAGGCCTTGGGGACATAGATATGAAGACAGTACATTAACAGATGTGAACACATGAAAAAGGATCACTGTAACACAATATGATCATTGAGATTAGAGAGGCTGCAGCAAAATCTTAAGGTTCACAGATGGGCTCTGGATACTTTGTCACAGAAAAGGAGAAGGACAGTAATATAACGCTGAGATAAGGAAGATTCCTGTGGGAGAGGGTAGGGGGAGTTGACATCACCTCCTCCTTCTGGCCCAGTTACCAAAAGGAAGCCAAATTTCCCTCTGAAGGGTCATACCAATTTACATTCCCAACAGCAATGTATGACAGCACCAACCTCCCAACAGGAAGAAAAATGCATCATATTCAAAGTTTTTTGCCATTCTTATTGTTGAGACATGGTGTCTCAGAATTGTTATAATTTGCATTTTTCTAATTATGAGTATGAACATTTAAAAAATATGTCTGAGCGAAATTTATATATATTTTTGTGCACTGTCTGTTCTAGTCTTTTTCCTATTTTTCTATCAGTTTTTTTGGTATTTTGTCCATTTTTTTGTTTATTCATTTTATTATTTATTTAAGAGGCAGGGCCTCTCTTCATTGTCCAGGCTGGAGTACTTGGCATAATCATAGTCTACTGCAGCCTCAAATTCCTGGGCTCAAGTGATCCTTCTGTCTCAGTCTCCTGAACAGCTGGGACTACAGGCATGTACCACCATGACTGGCTAATTTTATATATATATATATATATAAATATATATATATATATGCTGCCCAGGCTGGTCTCAAACTCTTAGCCACAAGTGATCCCCCACTTTGGCCTCTCAAAGTGCTGGGATTACAGGAGTGAACTACTACTGCACCTGGCCCTCATTTTTCGAGTCCTTTATATTAGGGACATTAGTCCCATGTCTGTGGTGTATGTTACAAATATTTTCTCCCAGATTGTCAGTTGTTATTTGACTTTACTGATTGTGTATTTTGTCGTGTGAAAAAATTCTGAAGTCATTATGAGTCAATTTATCAATTTTTTAAAAATTGGTTTTGGATTTTGAGTCACAGTTAAAAACAACTTCTTCAGTTACACCCAAGGTTAAAGCAGAATTCACCCATGTTTTCTTCTAGTGTTTATATGATTTCTTTCTTTGTTTTTTTCCCCTAATCTATTCCTAGTCTTTTTGAAATCTATTTTTATATGAGGTATAAAAAGTACAGCTAATACTTTCTCTTTTTCCAAATAGTGATCCAGCTACCTCGGCATCATTTATGAATTCTTTAGTTTATCTTTATTGCAGTACACCAAAAAGAAAAAAAAAATCTCTAAGACTCAAGAGAAAAAAATCATAAAGTACACAGATTCAAGAAGAGAATAACTATGTTATTTAACCAAGCTGTAAACATGTAAAAAATGAAAGCGAGAAAGTCCCAAAGATTCCACAAAAATACTATTTGAGGAAATAAATAAATTCAGTAAAGTTACAGTATACTAAATCTACAAAAATCAGTAGCATGTCTATAAATTTTTAAATGTATAGCGTCCTGCATTTCTAAAACATGAGCTAGCAGAGAAAAAAAATCAAGAAAACAACTTCATTTACAGCAGCATAAAAATATATAAATATCTTTTATCTGGAAATAAATTTAACCAAGGAGGTGAAAATTTAATACACTGAAAACTACAGAACACTGATGAAATAAACTGAAGAAGACACAACTAAATGGAAAGCTATCCAATGTTCATAGATGGGAAGACTTAATATTGTTTACAAGTCCATACTACTCAAAGTAATATACAGATTTAATGCAATCTCTATCAAAATTCCCATGGCATTCTTCACAGAAATAAGAAAAAGAGTCATAAAATTCATAGGGAACCACAATAAATCCTAAATAGAACAAGCAATTATAGAGAAAGTAAAAGCTGGAGGCATTTCATTACTTATTTAAAATTATATGACAAAGCTATAGCACTTAAAACTGTATGGTACAAACATAAAAACAGAAACAGACTAGTGGAGCAGAATAGAGACCAGAAATAAAGATAAACATATATAGTCAACTAATTTTCAACAAGGGTACCAAGAGAACCCAATGGGGAATGAAAAGACTCTTTAAAAAATGGTGCTGGAAAAACTGGATTTCCACACACAAAAGAATGATATCTTATATCAAAAATCAATTCAAGATTGATAAGAAACCTAAATGTAAGACCTAAAACCTTAAAACTCCTAAAAGAGAACATGGGAAAAAAGTTTCTCGACATTGGCCTTGGCAATGATTTTTTTGGATATCACATGAAAAGCTCAGGCTACAAGAACAAAAGTAAATAAAAAGCTAAAAACTAAAGCGTTCTGCATGGCATAGAAAACAATTTAAAAAATGAAATGGCAACCTACGAGCCAGGAAAAAATAATTGCAAACCACATAACTGATAAGAGGTTAATAAGCAAAATTTATAAAGAACTCTAACCACTCAATAGCAAAAAAACAACCTGATTTTAAAAATGGGCGAAGATCCTAAACACTATACAGACATTTTTCCAAAGAAGATATAACAGTAACTAACAGGTATATGAAAAGGTACGCAGCATCACTAATCATAAGGGAAATGCAAATCAAAACCACCATTAGATACCACTTCACACTTGTAAGGATGGACATTGTAAAAAAGACAAGAGATAACACATGTTGGCAAGGGTGTAGAGAGAAAAAGGAATCCTAGTACACTGTTGGTTGGAATGTAGACAAGGATAGCCATTATGTAAAACAGTACGGAGGTTCCTACAGAAATTAAAAACAGGACTGCCTATGACCCAGGAATCCCTCTTCTGGATACATACCCAAAGTAGATACAATCACCACCTTATAAACATATCTGCACCGAAGCCAAGATATGAAAACAGCCTGAATGCCCATCAACAGATTAGTGGATAACGAAAATGTGGTATATATATACAACAAAATATTATTCAGCCTCAAAAAAGGAGATCCTGTCATTTGCCACAACATGAATGGACCTAGAGGACATTCATTATGCTAAGTGAACTAAGCCAGATACAGATAATATCACACGATCTCACTTATATATGAAATTTTTTTTTTTTTTGAGTTGGAGTCTCACTCTGTCACCCAGACTGGAGTGCAGTGGCCGCTTCCGGCCACCGCAGCCTCGACCTGCTGGGCTCCGGCGATCCTTCCGCCTCAGCCTTCCCAGTAGCCGGAATTACAGGTATGCGCTACCACGCCCGGCTGATTTTTTTGATTTATTGTAGAGATGAGGTCTCGCTGCCCAGGCGGGTCTTGAACCCGCGGGCTCAGGCAATCCACTCACCTCAGCCTCCCAAAGGCGCGGGATTACAGGCTGAGCCACTGAGCCTGGCTTGAAATTTTTTTTTTTAAAGCTCAAACATGCAGA